CAGCTATTTTTGTATTTTTAGTAGAGACAGGTTTCACCATGTTGGTCAGGCTGATCTCCAACTCCTGACCTCGTGATCTGCCCGCCTCTGTCTCTCAAAGTGCTGGGATTACAGGTGTGAGCCACTGTGCCCAGCCCCATATGCTACATTTCTTTCTTTTCTTTTTTTGAGATGGAGTTTTGCTTTTGTTACCCAGGCAGGAGTGCAATGTCATGATCTTGGCTCAACGCAACCTCTGCCTCCTGGGTTCAAGCAATTCTCCTGCCTTAGCCTCCCAAGTAGCTGGGACTACAGGCTCATGCTACCATGCCCAGCAATTTTTGTATTTTTAGTAGAGACGGGGTTTCACCACGTTGACCAGGAGGGTCTCGATCTCTTGACCTCATGATCCACCTGTCTTAGCCTCCCAAAGTGCTAGGATTATAGGCGTGCCCAGCCCTAAGCTACATTTCTTAACAACACATGACTTCACTGAATGGTCTCATTGGTGTTTGGGTTCACTGATCACAACTCTACACTAGAGATGCTCAATAAGTGTTGGTTCTGGGTCAGTGCAGTGGCTTCCATATGCAATCCCAACACTTTAGGAGACTGAATTGGGAGGATCACTTGACACTAGGCATTTGAGACCAGCCTGGGCAGCAAGCAAGACCCTGTCTCTACACACACCTGTCCACACACAGACAGACAATCAGCCAGGCATGGTGGAATGCCTGTAGTCCCAGATACTGGGGAGGCTGAGGTGAGAGGATCGCTTGAGCCCAGAAGCTTGAGGCTGCAGTGGGCCATGATTGTGCCATTGCACTGTAGCCCGAGCTTCAGAACGAGACTATGACTCAAAAAAGTAAGATAAAAGGGCCAGGCACGATGGCTCACGCCTGTAATCCCAACACTTTGGGAGGCCGAGGCAGGTGGATCACAAGGTCAGGAGATAGAGACCATCCTAGCCAACATGGTGAAAACATGCCTGTATTCAAAGTACAAAAATTAGCCGGGTGTGGTGGCGCATGCCTGTAGTCCCAGCTACTTGGGCAGCTGAGGCAGGAGAATCACTTGAACCCGGGAGGCAGAGATTGCTGTGAGCCAAGATCGCGCCACTGCACTCCAGCCTGGCGACAGAGACAAGGGTGTCTCAAAATAAAAAAGATAAAAGAAGTGTCAGTTTCATATATCCTTTCATAACACACACGTAGGAACATCTACACTTATACGTTCATTTACTCTATAAATACTTAAGTTAATGAATGTTCCCTTAATCTTGCCAAGAAACTTTAGCTTTTGGTTCCAGGTGAGAGAAATAAAAAATCTGAAATGCTTTACATTTCTTCGATATGTGTGCTGTATACATTTGGGATGACTATTGTAAATTGTTAAAATACTTTGCTTTATGACTTTTGTTTTAATTAGAAGAGGTTGATTTCAGACAGCTTAATACCCAGCCTTTGGTTGTAAAATGAGCAGTAGACCCTTAGCGGGGTTTGAGAAATGGGTAAACTTAGAATTTTCTCCTCCTCCTCTGATTCAATGCAATAAAATCTTTCACTTACAAAAAAAAAGTAAAGAAATAAGTTTGACGTATTTCAAATCCCTTCTATAAATTGTTGAAAAGATTTAATATAACCACCGGCCATAAAATCTTTAATTTGAGTTGACCCTCTGTGGTCTTGTGATTACACATGCAATTTTTATTATTAAAGAATAAATTGTGGATTTCCCATGACTCCAGGGAATCAAGTACCCTTCAATCACCTTCTCCAGCAACTCGAGGATTTGAAGCTTTTCCGTTCAACTCTCGAAGAGAGGAATTTCACAAAATGGTATGTAACCTGGAAATACCGTGTTCCCTATGGATGCTGTCAGTTTTTTTTTAATTTGAAAAAAGGAGTAAAGCTCTAGCCAGAGATGATGTCCAGCAAGTTTGGTTTAGGGCAAAATCGATGATGTAAAAATTACTTTTCATCAATTCCCATTACAAAGCCTCAGCTGTGCTTTCAATGTAAAAATCATTTCCCAGCCGACTGAAAATAAAGCTTTTGGCAAAGCAGTGAAATAGGGATGTGGCTGGACCAGGAGCCTGTAGCCTGCATTTGGTCATGTCCTGTAGAAGAGAGTAAGGTAATTTGAAATCAGGTGAGTGACGCCGGGTGTGGTAGCGCATGCCTGTAATCCTAGTACTTTGGGAGGCCAAGGCAGGCAGATCACTTGAGGCCAGGAGTTCAAGACCAGCCTGGCCAACATGGTGAAACTCTGTTTCTACTAAAAATACAAAAAATTAGCTGGTCATGGTGGCGCGTGCCTGTAATCCCAGCTACTCAGGAAGCTGAGGCAGGAGAATTGCCTGAACCCAGGAGGCGGAGGTTGCGGTGAGCTGAGATCACGCCATTGCACTCCAGACTGGGTAACAAGAGCAAAACTCCGTCTCAAAAAAAAAAAAATTAGCCAGATGTGGTGACAGATGGCTGTAATCCCAACTACTCAGATGGCTGAGGCAGGAGAATCGCTTGAGCCCAGGAGGTGGAGGTTGCAGTGAGCCAAGATTGCACTATTCTACTCCAGCCTGGGCGACAAGAGCAAGACTCCATCAAAAAAAAAAAAAAAAAAAGGACATAACTTGAGATTGAGTAATTTATAAAGGAAAGAGGTTTAACTGGCTGACAGTTCTGCAGGCTGTATAGGCTTCTGCTTTGGGGGAGGCCTCAGGAAACTTTTTTTTTTTGAGATGGAGTTTCGCTCTTGTTACCCAGACTGGAGTGCAATGGCGCAATCTCGGCTCACCGCAACCTCCGCCTTCTGGGTTCAAGTAATTCTCCTGCCTCACCCTCCCGAGTAGCTGGGATTACAGGCACGCGCCACCATGCCCAGCTAATTTTTGTATTTTTAGTAGAGACGGGGTTTCACCTCGTTGACCAGGATGGTCTCGATCTCTTCACCTCGTGATTCACCCGCCTCGGCCTCCCAAAGTGCTGGGATTATAGGCGTGAGCCACCGTGCCAGGCCGAAACTTTTTTTTTTTAAGAGAGTTTTGCTTTTGTTGCCCAGGCTGGAGTGCAACGTTGCAATCTTGGCTCACTGCAACCTCTGCTTCCCTTCAAACGATTCTCCTGCCTGAGTAACTGGGATTATAGGCATGCGCCACCAAGCCCGGCTAATTTTTGTATTTTTAGTAGAGATGGGATTTCTCCCTGTTTGGTCAGACTGGTCTTGAACTCCTGACCTCAGGTGATCTGCCTGCCTCGGCCTCCCAAAGTGTTGGGATTACAGACATGAGCCACTGCACCTGGCTAGGAAACTTACAATCACCGTGGAAGGTGAAGGAGAAGCAAGCCCATCTGACATGGCAGAAGCAGGAGGAAGAGTGGGTAAGGGGGACGTGCCACACAGTTTTAAACAACCAGATCTTGTGAAAATTCTATCAGGAGACAGCACTAGGGGGATGGTGCTAAACCATTAGAGACCACCCCCTCCCCATGATCCAGTCACCTCCCACCAGGCCACTCCTCCAACACTGGAGTTACAGTTCTGCATGAGATTTGGGTGGAGACACAAATCCAAACCATATCAGCAGGTCAGCCTCTTCCATGTGGGAGGGGAGACACAAGAGCATGAATATCAGGAGGTGAGAATTACTGAAGCCATCTTGGATGCTGGTTTCCACTAAGCCGAGAGTTTAAGAGATTTCTTTCTTTTTTCAAATTTGAGACAAGTTCTCGCTCTGTTTCCCAGGCCGGAGTGCAATGGCATAATCACGACTCACTGCAACCCTGACCTCCTGGGGCTCAAGTGATCCTCCTGCCTCAGCCTCCCGAGTATCTTTCGAGACCAGCCTGGCCAATAAGGTGAAACCCGATCTCTACTGAAAATACAAAAAAAAAAAAATTAGCTGGGCATGGCGGTGTGCACCTGTCAATCCCAGCTACCTGGGATGCTGAGGCAGGATAATGGCTTGAATCTGGAAGGCAGAGGTTGCAGTGAGTCAAGATTGCGCCACTGCACTCCAGCTTGGGCAACAAAGCAAGGTTCCATCTCAAAAAAAAAAAAAAGAAAAGGAAAAAGAGAGAGACTGGGGTCTCCCTCTGTCACCCAGGCTGGAGTGCAGTGGTGCAATCGGCTCACTGCAGCCTCAACCTCCCAGGCTTAAGTGATTCTCCCACCTTAGCCTCCTAAGTGCCTGGGATTACAGGCACACACCACCATGCCCAGCTAGATTTTTAAATTTTTTGTAGAGTCTCACTATGTTGCCTAGGCTGGGCTCAATCTAGTGAACTCAAGCTGTCCTTCTGCCTTAACCTCCCAAGGTACTAGGATTACAGGCATAAGCCACTGCTCCCAGCCCCAGCCAATATCTTTTTTCTTTTTTGAGACAGAGTCTCACTCCATCACCAGGGCTGGAATGCAGTGGTGCGATCTTCACTTATTGCAACATCCACCCGCTGGGTTCAAGCAGTTCTCTTGCCTCAGCCTCCCAGAGTGCTGGGATTACAGGCGTGAGCCACTGCTTCCAGCCCCAGCCAATATCTTTTTTCTTTTTTTTGAGATGGAGTCTCACTCCATCACCAGGGCTGGAATGCAGTGGTGGGATCTCCGCTCATTGCCACCTCCACCTTCTGGGTTCAAGCAATTCTCCTGCCTCAGCCTTCCAAAGTGCTGGGATTACCGGCATGAGCCACCTGCGCCCGGCACCCGGCCAATATCTTGAATACAGCTTCACGAGCAATCCTGAGCCATAACTACCCAGCTAAGCTACTCCCAAATTCCTGACCCACAGAAAGTGTATAAGATAATAAGTGTTTATTGTTCCTTTAGGTGGCTAAGGAGAATTTGTTACACACCAATAGATGATTAACAGAGCCTCAGTTTCTCTGTCACTAAAATGAGGATCCTAGAATTGTTTTCTTGAACCCAGGAGGTGGAGGTTGCAGTGAGCCGAGATCATGCCACTGCACTCCAGCCTGGGCAATTGAGTGAGACTCTGTCTCAAAAATAAAATAAAACAAAGTAAAAGCTTTGCGCAGTGGCAGTATCGTAGCCAATGAGGACTATCCGAGGCTCGATTATTGCTAATTGAAAACTTCCCAATACCCTGCCGTGACGATTTCCAATACAGTCGGCACTGGCAATTTTTGACAGTCTCTACGGAGACTGATTAAAAAAAAAAAAAAACGTAAAATGAAATGAGGATCCTAAACCAGATCCTCTAGGGTGGTTAGGAGGATTGAGTGTGCTAAGGCATGCAAGTTATTTAGTCTAATTCCCAGCACATGACAGATGGTTGATATCTGATAGCTGTGATCACTTATAGCACTCACAGGCCTTAGAACATTTCCGTGACGCTTTTGACTAATGTCTCCACACCCACAGAATTTTCCCACTGTGTTTTTGTTTTGTTTTTGAGACAGAGTCTTGCTCTGTCGCCCAGGCTGCAGTGCATTGGCACAATCTTGGCTCACTGCAACCTCCGCTTCCTGGGTTCAAGTGATTCTTCTGCCTCAGCCTCCCGAGTAGCTGGGACTACAAGCCCATGCCAACACACCTGATTAACTTTTTGTATTTTTAGTAGAGACGGGGTTTCACTGTGTTAGCCAGGATAGTCTCAATCTCCTGATCTTGTGATCCACCAGCCTTGGCCTCCCAAAGTGCTGGGATTATAGGCATGTGCCACCACACCTGGCCAATTTTTTTTTTTTTTTTTTTTTTTTTTTTTTGAGGCAGGGTCTGTCTCTGTCACCCCGACTGGAGTTTTTCAGTGGTGTGATCTTGGTTGACTGCAACCTCCACCTTCTGGGTTCAAGCAATCCTCCCACTTTAGCCTCTCACAGGTACAGGCCATCATGCCCAGCTAATTTTTATATATTTTTTAGAGACAGGATTTCACCATGTTGGTCAGGCTGGTCTTGAACTCCTGACCTCAAATGATCCTCCTGCCTTGGCCTCCCAAAGTGCTTGGGTTGCAGGCGTGAGCCACCATATCCAGTAACACTTGCTTTCCTAATGCCATTTCAATTTGGTCGCATTACTCCTTCCTGAGTCAAGTTTTTTTTTTGAGGCAGAGTCTTGCTCTGTCACCAGGCTGGAGTGCAGCGGCTCGATCTCAGCTCACTGCAACCTCCGATTCCTGGGTTCAAGTGATTCTTCTGCCTCAGCTTCCTGAGTAGCTGGGATTACAGGAGTGTGCCACCATGCCCAGCTAATTTTTGTATTTTTAGTAGAGATGAGGTTTCACCATGTTGGACCAGGATGGTCTCGATATCCCAACCTCAGGTGATTCACCTCCCAAAGTGCTGGGATTACAGGCGTGAGCCACCATGCCTGGCCTTTGAGTCAGGTTTTAATCTGATATTTAACCAGAATAATTCTAAAGTCTTTTTTTTTCACTGAATAAATGCTGCCCTCATACAAAGCTGTTTTATTTTATTTTTATTTTTTATTTTTGAGATGGAGTCTCACTCTGCTGCCCAGGCTGGAGTGCAAATGGAGGTATCTTGGCTCTCTGCAATCTCCATCTCCCAGGTTCAAACAATTCTCCTGCTTTAGCCTCCCAAGTAGCTGGAAGTACAGGTGTGCACCATCACACTGGCTAAATTTTGTATTTTTAGTACAGACGGGGTTTCGCTATGTCGGCCAGGCTGGTCTTGAATTCCTGACCTTAGGTGATCTGCTCAACTCAGCCTCCCAAAGTGCTGGGATTACAGGTGTGAGCCACCACACCTGGTCTCTATTTATTTCTTTCTTTCTTTTCTTTTTTGAGACTGAGTCTTACTTTGTCACCCAGGCTGGAGTGCAGTGGCGTGATCTCAGCTCACTGCAATGTCTGACTCTCGGGTTCAAGCAATTCTCTGCCTCAGCCTCCTGAGTAGCTGGGATTACAGGCGACCACCATCACATCCAGCTAATTTTTGTATTTTTAGCAGAGATAGGGTTTCACCATCTTGGCCAGGCTGGTCTTGAACTCCTGACTTTGTGATTTACCCACCTCAGCCTCCCAAGTCTTGGGATTACAGGCGTGAGCCACCATACTTGGCCTCTGTGACTGTATTTTTTAAAGTATTTTATTTGTATAAAAAAATAAATAGAGGCCATGCTCAGTGGCTCATGCCTGTAAACCCAGCACTTTGGGAGCCTGAGGCAGGCAGATCCATCTGCCTCAGCCACCCAAGGTTGGGAGTTCAAGACCAGCCTGACCAACATGGGGAAATTTCGTCTCTACTAACAAAATACAAAATTAGCTGGGCATGGTGGCACATGCCAAAATCCCAGCTACACAGGAGGCAGAGGCAGGAGAATTGCTTGAACCCAGGAGGTTGCAGTGAGCCGAGATCATGCCATTGCACTCCAGCCTGGGTGGCAGAGTGAGACTCCATCTGCAAAACACACACACCCACACCCACACCCACACACACACACACACACACACACACATATTTAGTAGTTGTTTCTCGTCAAAGACACACTTCGATATCTGAGTACCTGTCAACGTTACATGGACCAGTCCATGACTGAACCGAGCGTGGAAGTTTCCTCTTCGTCATGTGATGGCCACACTGAAGGAAGACACACTTGGGTGTGCAGCAGCGCTGGGCGACTTTGGCAGCCCTTCTAGGAGAAATGTTTTGGGAAAGACTCCTTTTCCACACAAAGCATCCCAGCCACCCGAGCAGACCCAATTGTGGGCCTTCATCTCATCTGAAGTACCCTGGGAATCCACAGGACACTTCCTACATCCTTTGAGTTCAAAGCACTTTACCAAGGTTATCTAATCAATCTCCAGAGGAGATTTTGGAAGGGATGATGGTTTTTGTCAAGTTATAGTGCCTGTGAGTCAGGACAGCACAAGACAATGCCACCAGGAGCAGGAGGCAGTTTCCTGTGACTTTCTCCCCATCTGCTGCCCCAGGAGAGTCCCCTGCTCTGCCGTGGCCTCCGCCTGTTCCCTTCAAATCTCTGTGGAAACTGGGGCCAGAAGTCATGTTCCCGAGTCTGTGAGCTGAAAGCCCTCATCTCTAGCCATTGCCAATGATGAGGTTTCCTGCAACCTAAACATTACCAGTGTGACTTAGGGTAAGTATAAGTTTTTTTTTGTTTTTTCTTTTTGAGACAGAGTCTTGCTCTGTCACCCAGGCTGGAGTGTGGTGGCGTGATCTCAGCTCACTGCAACCTCCATTTCCCAGGTTCAAGGAATTCTCTGCCTCAGCCTCCCGAGCAGCTGGGATCACAGGCACCTGCCATCACATCTGGCTAATTTGTGTATTTTTAGTAGAGACGGCCTTTCACCATGTTAGTCAGGCTGGTTTTGAACTCCCAACCTCGTGATCTTGTCTGCCTCGGCCTCCCAAAGTGCTGGGATTACAGGCGTGAGCCACTGAACCCAGCCAGTAAGTATAAGTCTTTTGATACTATATTTTTATTTTGTTTTATTTATTTATTTTTTTGAGACGGACTTTTCGTTCTTGTTGCCCAGCCTGGAGTGCTATGGCAAAATCTTAGCTCACTGCAACCTCTGCCTCCCGGATTCAAGCAGTTCTCCTGCCTCAGTCTCCCAAGTAGCTGGGATTACACGCGTGCGCCACCATGCCCGGCTAATTTTATATTTTCAGTAGAGACGGGGTTTCTACATGTTGGGCAGGCTAATCTAGAACTCCTGACCTTAGGTGATCCTCCTGCCTTGGCCTCCCAAAGTACTAGGATTATAGATGTGAGCCACCACGCCAGGCCAAGTAGCTGGGGTTACAAGCAGGTACCACAAAACCCAGCAAATTTTTTGTATTTAGTAGAGATGGGGTTTCATCATGTTGGTCAGGCTGGTCTCGAACTCCTGACCTCAGGCGACCACCTGCCTCAGCCTTCCAAAGTGCTGGGATTACAGGTGTGAGCCACTGCACCCAGCTTAATATTTTATTTATTTAAATTAAAAAATATATCGAGATGGGGCTGCGCTAGGTGGCTCACGCCTGTAATCCTAGCACTTTGGGAGGTGGGAGGATCGCTTGAGCTCACAAGTTTGAGACCATTGTAGTCAATGTGGAGAACCCGTGTCTATAAAAAATGCAAGAATTAGCCAGGCATCATAACGAATCCATGTAGTTTCAGCTATTTGGAAGGCGGAGGGTGAAGGATCACATGTGCCTGAGAAGTGGAGGTTGTAGTGAGCCAAGATTGTGCCACTGCACTCCAGCCTGGGCAACAGAGTGAGACTCTGTCTCAAAATAAATACATTTAAAAAAAGTAAAAATAGAGTCCGGGTGCAGTGGCTCATGCCTGCAATCCCAGCACTTTGGGAGGCCGAGGCCTATGGATTACGAGGTCAGGAGTTCGAGACCCCTTGGCCAATATGGTGAAACCCCATCTCTACTAAATATATAAAAATTAGCTAGGCGTGGTGGTGCATGCCTGTAGTCCCAGCTACTTGGGAAGCTGAGGCAGAAGAATCACTTGAACCCAGGGGGTGGAGTTGCAGTGAGCTGAGGTCATGCCACTGCACTCCAGCCTGGGCGACAGAGCAAGACTCTGTCTCAAAAAATTAAATTAAATTAAAAAAAGAGACTAGGTCTTGCTATGTCACTCGCTCTGTTCTCGAACCCCTGGCTTCAAGTGATCCTACTGCTTTGGCCTCCCAAAGTGCTGGGATTACAGGTGTGAGCCACTGAGCCTCATCTGTAAGTGTAAGTCTTGTCTGAACCTCTGGGAAATCGTCATCCATACGTCATGGGGTTATTGGGAAGATAAAATGAGACCAGGCACTTGAAGATGCTGGCACGTGGTAACCAGATAATAATTCACTCAGGCAGCTGGGCGCAGTGGCTCACGCCTGTATTCCCAGCACTTTGGGAGGCTGAGGTGGGTGGATCAAGAGGTCAGGAGTTCAAGACCAGCCTGGCTAAGATGGTGAAACCCCTGTATCTACTGAAAATACAAAATTAGCCAGATGTGGTGGCATATACCTGTAATCCCAGCTATTTAGGAGGCTGAGGCAGAAGAATTGCTTGAACCTGGGAGGTGGAGTTTGCAGTGAGCCGAGATCATGCCACTGCACTCCAGCCTGGATGACAAAGTAAGACTCTGTCTCAAAAAAAAAAAAATTCACTCAGGCAAACCAACCAACCACCCAATGAACCAACCAATCAAATAAACCAAACACAATGGCT